CAAATCAGTTTCTTTTTTGAGAAATCCTGCCAAATTATTGACAGATAAACCAATAAAATCAAACCGTGAGTGAACTGAGCACGGTGAGCTGGCTGCGAGTCTTTATATTAATATTTAGCACCTCTGTTCTCAGAACCAGTGATGTTACACTCAAAGCAGACGACCTGACACAGGAACAACTTTTCACAGCAGTGCGTTTCGATCAGCGATAGACCGATTGATCGATAAATGGCTGATTAACTGAGCTAATATTTTGTTAACTGGCTGATGTCTGTGTTCACGAGGCAGATTAACAAAAGATGTAAACACATCTGCAGTGAGACGAGTGCAGATTTGATGCCTTGCTTCACCGCGCCGCCCAAACATCACATGACCATCCCAAATGAATTAGACTGTGTCTGGTGCTAAGAAACCATTTTAACCCAACTGCTTCATTCTGATTCAGTGCTTCAGAAACCTCTAATTCAAACAACACTACTCAGAACCCAACATCTACAGAGTGCTGTCGACATAAAGACATAACTTGAATTTGGGTCATACAGTGTACGGATACAGCTCAGAGTCTTTGTGCACAATTTAATGTGTTATCATGGATAAAACTGTCATTTTTGCCCAATCTACAATCAAAAACCTATAATAAAGTGAAACCATAGTTTATCCCAGTTTTATGTATTAGACTTTTTGGATGCACACAGAGAGTCAGGATTGTTTATATGTACTGAGGCATCTCATGTACAGGAGGTTTGATTAATTATATGTATGCCCTCGCCTTGCTCCACATGTTGTGCATTAGGACCTGTTAGCATGGCTCACTGTGTCACTGGTGGGCGGGGAGAGGATGCCAAACAGGCTGGAGACCCGGCGTCCGATGCCAGAGAGCACGCCCTGACCCTGCTGCAGAGCTCGGCAGTGCAGCTTTCCAGAAGAATCCACACTGGCTCTCAACAGTTGACTCTTCACTGAGGACAAGACAAAGCTCCCACCCTGAGAGAGGAGTCAGAAATAAAGACAGGTAAAGGAAAAACAAAATCCAGTTTGACAGGAGCTACAGATTCAAAGCAGACCGGCTCATTTAGTCAAAATTTGACAAAACAACCAGTTTGACAGGAGCTACAGATTCAAACCAGACCGGCTCATTTAGTCAAAATTTCCTGTTTGGTGTGTTTAACTGCAAAGGCTAAAACTGAGGATCTACTCACTCTGACAGCAACAACAAAGTTACAGAAATCCCCCAGGTCCACATCTGTCTCTGTGTATTTGCCCTCCTGAGCCAAGCTGGGCCAGAGACGGGCTGTTCCCTCTGCAGCCACCGCCAGGACGGTTATGGACTGAACGGCGGCGGTGTCCAGAGGAGCAGCGGACATCACGGCCACGAGGTCAGCTGTGTAGTTGTACTCACTGCTGGGCAGCTGCAGCTCCTTACACACCGACAGCTGCAGGGAAACAGAATTGGTGGGTTTTAAGACTTAAACTATGAATCTGTGACTGTTTTCTTTAGGGCTGCAAACTAAAACATTTTTACTGGATTAACCTTTAAAATACTTTATTATTCATCAGGAAATACTGACAGATGTGCATTAGCTTCCTAGCACTCAAGGTGGCAGCTTCAGATTTCTTGTTTTGTCCAACCAGCAGTCCCACACCAAACTATATTCACTCTACAACAATATAACACAAAGTCATAAATGTTCACAGTATTGGGTGTCGTACCCGACTGTCATGGTGAAGAGAGCTGAGTCTGAAGGCAAAGCTCTAGTCGTACCAGGAATTTACAGACAGGCGACAAATGAAAGGAAACCCCGATTAAAGTGTCTTAACAAGGTGCTGGATTACTGAGCTTTTGTTCAAAGGTGAGTTTTAATCGCTGTAATCTTGGTAGTGCAACAGAAATGTTATGTTGCTATGCTCTGTGTTTTAGAGGGTCAGTGTTTATGCACTGCCTGTGATGCACAGCTGTGCAGCGACTCTTTGTTTGAGAGCAATCTCTATAATTTCCAGTATTGACTCAAACATCCCATTCAGGCTAAAGCTAATCAAAATGGGTTTTTAAATCAATTTCATCAATAAATAAATAAATAAATAAAAGTAAGGCCTGGTCACCTGGCTACACGAGGCAGCCACGACAGACTGACCAACTAACTGTGTGTTCTTCTTGACTAAAATTTATTACCCACAATCAAATACAACCTTTTGAAAGTGAGACTGGTTCAAACCCAAACTATGTAAAGTGGAATATGATGCACTCTTATGATGTTGGCACTTAGGAAACTTCTTCCTGTTTTTCCCTTGATGAATAAGTCGCTGGACTGGTGATTTACAGATCTCTTTGGTGGAAGAGGGACTGAAGTGTACCTTGGCCACAGGAGTCTGGCAGATTTTCCAGATGATCAGTCTCTCTCCACAAACCATCCAGGCCCAGCCGCTCTCGTTCACCTTCACTGAAATCTGGTCATCAGCTAGAGGCATCCAGAGACACAGACATGTTCAGCGGCAGCACTTGAACAGGACACGGTACTTCTAACAAACCCTGACAGAAGGACTTTGACAAGAAGAGATGTCTGAGAAAACTGGAATTAGACCACAGAAAACAAACCATGAAGCAGAAATCACACTGGAGAGGATACGAGATGTGGTTCTGTTTACCATCAGCCATGGTGAGTGCCTCCATCACTTTGACAGGCAGCGACGAGCCGAAGGTTTGCACATCATAGTTGACTGAGTCTGCAGAGGCATGGGTCTGCACTCGGGTGGGTGTTGACCTGGTGGGGAGTGATTTAGGGTTACACCGAGTGGATAAACTCTACAGACCGTCCGTCTGACTGCATTGTGTGGAAGGTCAATCCATGCCTTGGTCTCTACCCATGTTCCCCTTGTAATGAATGTTGTACAGCTTTGTTTAAGCTTATATGTCCCACTCGTGTCCTGTCTGCACAAACTATCTGCTATGTTGCACTGTTCTATAAATGACAGTTACCTCCTGTCAGTGCTGAAAGAGGGATCCCTCTTCTGTAACTCTGAGGTTTCTACCATTTTATTCCTTCTTTATAACGTTGTTTTTTTATTTCAGTTGTTTCTTATCTGATTTAAAACTCCACAAACAGAGTGTTGTATGCTGTAAACCTGTGAAATCCCGTGAAGCTAATTTATTATATTGGGCTGTATATAATAAAACCAACATGGATTAGTGTGAGGTATCTAGTCTTCATTGATTTATACGAGCTAAGCAGGGTGAACAAAAATGACAAGAGATTTATTTAGGTCAATATAATAAACTGGCAGCTGATACAAATATATAAAACCTTCCAAATTAAGTTAACATTAGCAGGCGGTGTTTTCACTGACCTCACAGACAGAGGCGTCCTACGCGGGGAGAACAGCGAACTGTTGGCCGCTGCGGAGACGTTCTTCCTCCCGCTGGTCCTGCGGCCGGAGCCCGAGGCGGTGCGGGGGCTAAACATGGCTTCTGTGAGACCTGGTACTGCTCAACAGGGAAGAAATATATAAAACTATAACCGTAAAAATGAACAGATATGCTATGCCCACCTTGTTCATCAAACAGCGCGCGATGCGGTCGCGTGAATAATACGTCATCATCTTGTAACTAAGCACCACCTATTAAAAGCGTAGCTAATAAAACAAGCATAACAATTTGAAAAGTAACAAACTACGGATTAAGTAATAGTAGTAATTACTGAGCATTTTTAAAAATGTCCCTAGCCGTGCCCGAGGTGACGGGGTTCACGCCGAAAATCGCGTCATGAACAGAAACCTGAAATGATGAAAATCAAGTACGAAAACCAATTTAACTGGTGTCTGCACATCCCTGGAATACAGAAATGCACACACAACCGCGTGTCTTAATTTTAATCACTGTTATATGTTGTTACTTCTTTGGTTATAAAACATTCTGCCACAAGGTGTCGCCCTTTCCACGTCCAATAAGGTGGACCTGACATCAGCAAACATCCAAGGGCAAACTGAGAATAGGTACCATCTAAAGATCCATTATTGTTCTCTGTATGACATAAATAGATGTTTGGATGAAACAGATATTTGAGCAAATACTTTACATAGTTTACAAACATGTAGCTCAGGGTGTTTGAGAGCTGGTGAGATGTCGATCAGTGTGAGGAGGGGATCAAGTGAAGATAATATCCTTGACTGACCCAGTAAAACACCTGACCTGTGATCTGACTGAGCTATTTAACTTGCTGAAAACCAGACCAACGGCAGAAGTAGTGTACAAAAAGCAAAAGCTGAAGGTGGCTGCAGTGAAGAGCATCACCAGGGAGACTGATGAGACCACAACATTTGTCACAGTGTCCAGTTACTTTTGACACTTGGTCACTATGTGGTTAAGTCATTGGGGAGCATTACAGAGCAATTACAGTGAATTATGGGAGTGTGGTATATGGATTGTTATAAAGGTAAATTGAAAGAAAATTGCAGAAACAGTGGGAAGAAGAGAGAATAGAAAGATGGTTATATAAGATCCAATGGAAAGTATGAGCAACTGTTAGGGACGCTCATAGTGACGCTGACTAGTGCAAGGAAAAGAAGAGAGGAAAGGTGCCATCGGGCAAAGCTGACAGCAACAAGAAGCACGGGAAGAAGTAGGAGAGAAGAAACTAATATTTAGGTTATGATTTAGACACACGGGACAAAAGAATACATTATTTAAATGTGGTAAATATGTTACTGGATGATGTGATGTCTGTGGGGAAGAATAAACAGTTGAGCATGTTGTGTTATAAAATAGGAGGATGAGAGGAGTGAAAGGATTCAACATTTCAGACATACAAAGGTGGTTTTTGATTCCCACAAACTTGGGGGGCCCACAGAGACTAGCTTTGGGTGAGGTAGAGGGCCCAACTTCAAATTTTTTCATAGGGCCCAAAAGTGCTAGCGGCGCCCCTGTTGCTGATTGTTTTTGTTTTTAAGACAAACAAAATCGATAGAGAGAATTGAAGTTCTATTAATCTAGTGCATTCCTTTAAAGATTCTCCCATAAGTTTACCTCTAGACAAGTGAAGCCCATTAAAACGTTATCTTTGATGCTTATCCTACAATAACGTGCAATGGAAAGTATGAGCAACTGTTAGGGACGCTCATAGTGACGCTGACTAGTGCAAGGAAAAGAAGAGAGGAAAGGTGCCATCGGGCAAAGCTGACAGCAACAAGAAGCACGGGAAGAAGTAGGAGAGAAGAAACTAATATTTAGGTTATGATTTAGACACACGGGACAAAAGAATACATTATTTAAATGTGGTAAATATGTTACTGGATGATGTGATGTCTGTGGGGAAGAATAAACAGTTGAGCATGTTGTGTTATAAAATAGGAGGATGAGAGGAGTGAAAGGATTCAACATTTCAGACATACAAAGGTGGTTTTTGATTTGTGGGATAGTCTACAAAGAATGTCTGGAGATGATTGCTTGTAGTTCTGATAGTCGTCCACCAGATGGTGACCTGATTCCATGGGGGGTGGGGGGTATGCTTACCTGAGGATTGGAGCCACAGGCCACAGAATCAGGAGTGCTCTCTGCGTCCTGTGCACCCGTTGCAGCTCGTCCATCCCGAATAAAGAAACCCCGATGGATCAGATACGGTAAGCAGTGTTAATTCTGAGCTGCATCACCTACTTGTACACAGTAAGGACAAAGGGGAACCTCACGATACGGGACCGAATCCATCCATCCGTTATACCACTTTAATGATTTCATATTTGAATTGACCTTGTTTCACTTTCACTTTCTTTCTGTGTAACGAGCCAGAGAAAATCAACCAAACCGCTGAGTTACTGGCTACACAAACACGCGATTCATCTGTAATGACCTTGTATGAAAACCATTTTTGTCCCATACACTCATGTTATTGGCTGGCCTGCTAAAGAGTCTTCCTCTGGCTGCTGTTCTGACTTTAGAGACAAAACGCTTTGCTCATGTGCCGCTTTGTGCGTTACCATTGGCCACCTCTCTGAACTCAGGGAGTTTCCTCTCTCCCTTTACTTTAACCGGAACCAGTCACGTCCTTTAACCCGATTTCAGAGAGAAAGTGGGTTCAGCTCATGGCCCAGACGTGCGTTGTGCTGCTCACAGGGCTCATTCATGTTCATGTTGTCCCACTTGGAGATTCCAGGTGAGCAACAAAGGTGTAACATTGTGTGTCTTAGCTAACTTCCATTGCCTTTTACACTCATCCTTTACAGGAGTGGAGAAAACCAGATAAATGTTCGGTTGGAATAACCCTAGGCTACCTCTTTACACCATTACCTAAACCAAGAAACTCCAATAAGTCTGTTGATGTTCTGAGGGGGAACAGAAGCTACACATATTACCTACCTATAACAGTTTCCCTGACTGTTAAAACACATCGGGTTGGAAATCTGTTTCCATGACTTCCCTCTATACTACTCTATCCGCTACACTAATCTAAATTGGGCCATATAATGTTAACTCTGGGAGTTCAGCCCAGTCATTTAATGTGCTAGTCACAGTCACTGAAGGTCGTTGAGTTGTTTCTACTGGCTCTGGGTTTATGTCACAGCAGGCAGTGAACAAAGTTCAACTGGACTGAACTTTGTCCACTGCCTGAGCTCACCTGCAGTACCTGCACGCCACGCTGCATGTGCGCTTTGCGCCGCAATAAACTGCTATGGCCCAATGGGCTTCAGAGCGCAACGGTGCCGTTGTCACTTTCTATGTGAAAGTCCCTTTTCAAACAGGCAGGGTTTGGCCAAACCACTGAAAATTTGGAACTCAAGATCCACTATTAACCACTTAATAAGATGAGAATATTATGAACAGAACCAATAAAAATTAAACTTTATTTATGTTCTGGAATTTTAAATTGTTTTTATTTTCCTCATTGTATATGTGATGTTCCTACAGAACCCTCGGCACCCCTGTTTTATATGGCCAGGGTCTGGGACGTCCTCCCCTCAGACCTATTGAGAACAATGCCAGGAAGAGATCAGGTATGAATATAGAGGCAGGGGGAACAAAACGTTGTAGCATTAAAGTCCTGTATTTAATTTGGTGAATGCTGCAGAAATCGTATATACTACAGACTGACAGCTGAATGTCTGAAGTTTTTCTGGTCCAAATACAGGAAGCACAAGTGATTTGTCTGGGGACAAGACAGAGGGGTTGAAGGCAAGACTTGGGCAGTTGACCCCAGAACATTCACTGCTGCAACGCAGTGTAAGTGATAAACACAGCCACAACAGATGGAGTGTCTGATCACAGCTGGTGGATGTTAGCTTAGCAGGAGCAAATGTTGACTCTCAGAAAGGAACAAACTGCTGTTTAAATCTGTGTTAGTGATGGATCACCTTGAGTTTTTAGTCTCCTGCAAAAAGAGAAAAACACAGGGACGTGTTATTGTAATTAACATTGTGCCTTATGCTGTTTCTCTCACACCATCACTCCTGTTAGAAAAAAAGAAGAAAGCATCCTTCAGCAAGTGCTTCACTCAGGTAATTAATCATTTCTTTCTCATTTATGGATTAGACAGATCTTTAATATTGATCAGTTTACAGTATTCAGTGTGGTGCAGAGCAAGACATATTCTTTTAATGTGCAGAGATGCTTCAGTACGTGGTCAGACCTATAAAGCGCCACCTAAACAACCTGCACCACAAGACACCATTACTGGTAAGTACATTTACTTACTGTACTCTACTTCAGTTCACTTTTAAGCTCTTGTGCTTTACATGAGTATTTCAGATGAATACTACTGTTTACTTCTGTTCCTATGTCATTAATCATGTATTTTAGCCATCTTTTTTTATTTTTTTATTTTAAATGGTGTCTCACTAAACATTTCTTTCATCAGATGAATCTTGCCTCAAACTGGATCCAAAAACAGCAACCACAAAGACAAAGGTAATGAAGGCAAGAGCGGAGCAGTGGCACATAGATGCAAGACACCATTGGAAAATGGAAGTATTGTGTTGGAACAACTTTGCTCCACAGTGTTAAACAGATCAAGGTTTAAAACAGTGCTCCTCTAGTAGCACGCCTAGCTAAACATCCACACAGTGACCCTCTCACAGGAACATGAATGTGGTTGTAGTGACCGTCAGAGCTCCACCAGACTCCCCGTCTCTCCAGCAGAGAACAGAAAAGTCTGACAGCAGCTTCTCAACGCTGTTAGCTCTGATTCTGTCTGAGAGCGCTGCAGTGTCAGTATATCTCATGGATGTATTATAGGAATTGCATTCCCAACTTAAAGATATCACTGAGTCACTTTAATGAAAATTGCTCACCTTGCACATGAGCCTTCGTTTTCTTCAGTTCTTGTTGACTTCTGCATTGTGTGGCCCACTCCACGTGCACTTTAGTGTTTCCCACCTGACAAAGACTTTACATGGTGTCAGTGTCACAATAATAGAAGTCACTTTTCTAGGTTCTGTGAAAGTTAACAATTATAAAACCTCAATGGAATAAAACGTCCTAATACAAAGAGTGGTAATTGCTCTGGTCTGCAGTTCCAGTTTGTAGGGAACATGTTTTTTGAACCACAGGGGGATTTTTGTTGCAATACCTTGAGTGACCACAAGGGAAAATTGCAAGGCTGGGTGGTGGCATGATTCCTGCTCTCATTATACATCTACCCTAGGTATGATGCCACAGTATTCTTCTGTATGCAGGAAACTCCGCTCTTCAGCTCACTTGACAATCAGTCTTCCTCATGCCCCTTGACCCAGCGAATCACACACTGTTTAGTGACGAGGCCACGCATTGTACTTATTGCTCCTTTAAAATATGCTGGGAGAGAGGCTTCTAGTTGAATTTAAAGGTGTAGTTACCCTTCAGTATTCTTCATTAAAGATGTTCTGGATAACATGTCTTTTTAATTACTTCAAAGCACACAGCTACACATTTTGAAAACTAATTTTGTGCCTTCCTAACATCCAGGTCTCATCATGTTTTACACCTGATCGTGTGTTAGATGAACGTGGAGAGACTTCATACAGGTAATCAGAAAGTAAAATAGCAAATATTGTTTCCTCGTACCATTATGATTGGTTTTAAACGTTAAGTTTTTTTCAATTAAAAATGTATTAAATGAACAAATTATATAGTTGTTGTGTAGTTGAAATAGTTGGGGGGTTATTTGAAGCTTATCTATATTTTTGTCCTCCCCAGCTACATACATGAGAGGGCCAGAATATTAGGAACACCTCTGAATATAATGTAGTCCAGTCTGATACCACCTTTAGCTATGGGCTCAATAATAAACATAATTGAATTTATACATTTATGACAATTTCACCAAAAACTGAAACATTTTGAGCTTCATAAACACAGATGCTAAGGTGGAAGTGTTGCACTGATTTGCATACAATTGTACAGGTGTACCTAATAAAGTGGCCAGTGAGTGTATATTGGTGTTAACACGGTTTTGATTCCGAGGGGTCGTTAGTGCTGTAGATTTCTGCAGAACAGTGATGGTGGTTGGACAGTTGGGGGGGTCTGTACCGTACCTGATACATTTGTAAACCTCAGTGCAGTTGTATGACAACACGTTGTTTTCATTAGGGCAGCAAGGGGCGGTCGATAATCAATAGATGGCAATGTATCATACTAAGGGAGAGAGTTTTACTAAATTGTAAGCCTGGAGTACTGCAACTGTGTATATGTGGTAAAAGGGCCAAAAACGTGATAATTCTGTTCTCATTGTATCATACAGGTTCAAATGTCCGTCTCCAGGTGTGTACCAGTGTGCTTCGACACAGCTAGTATTTAAATTGACTCAGAAGGCAGAGTTGTCATACAAGATCATCCAGTGGGATAAGATCAAGCCCCCCCTCCCATCTTACAAGAGGCCTGACAAGAGGCCTGCAGGTCCGTTGTATCACATCGAGTGTTCTGAGAAAGCTGTTGCTCAGCTGTGCCTCCCACATTGTGAAGCACAACCTGGTAAGTAGATACAATATGATGTTTAAAACATAAAAACAAAGCACAGTTATTTTTATAATAACTTAAAACAACCTACAGTACAGGAGTGGGTATAAAATGACTGGCATGTTGTGGGGCTAATGGCTCTGTGTACTTCCAGCACCCCCCAATGAAGACCTGTGTGTTGCCCACTTCCGTCATGGTAGGATGGGCATCCTTAAGCCACTAAAGATAACTGATACTCATGTGGTTGTGAATGTTCCTCACCTCTCTGCCCTTGGATTGATCTGGAAATGGGTCAAAAAATTTCTAAACAAGAAACGAATAATTGGACAAGTTCTGCTGTTCCACCACCCAAAGTTCACAGAGCAACTGAGAAAACTTAACATCTTTCTACTGCCAGCGAACGTTCCACTGCGAGAGGTAAAGTTTATGAAGTCATAGTTTTTGTAATTACATAGCAACATTTAGGTCTATCAATCAGTGCCACACTTTACTATGTTCTCTTATCAAAGCTTATGCTAAACAATTTCTCACAGTTGTACTGTCGAATTTAAGATAGAGCTTTTTTAAATTTCCTCCTAATATTTCTCTTGTCACTTACATGGTGTTTTGATCTAAAGTCAACTCAGTTAATTTCAGCAGTACAGCAGCATATTGTTATAACAACCAAATATTGCTGAGTTTCAGAATATGAGAAGATTTTCCAGTTTTAATCAGAAACTTTTTCAAGAAACATTTCTTGTAAAATGTAAACTGCAACATGTTGTAAACCACAGATTATGCTTCTTAAACTGACATTAGCATAGGAGTATGGGCTAGGTAACAAAATGTTTCATACATGCAGCAGACGTGAGGCCTACTTTCATGTGTTAGCATGAGCAAGCTAACATAAGGCTATATTAGAAGGTTTACTGGTTTGTTGGAGTGATTAGCAACACACAGTGGAATTTGATGCAGTACAAAAGGAAGCAGAAGAAAGTTGGCCGGGTTAGTTGAAGTGAGTGTATATTGGTGTTGCTAATAATACGGTTTTGATTCCGAGGGGTCGTTAGTGCTGTAGATTTCTGCAGAACAGTGATGGTGGTTGAACAGTTGAGGGGGCCTGTACCGTACCTGATACCATTTGTAAACCTCAGTGCAGTTGTATGACAACACGTTGTTTTCATTAGGGCAGCAAGGGGCTCCATTCCAGACAGATGATAGATTTTAACCTGTAAAAGAGGCATTAAAGGAAAGCCTGAATAAATTAGTGCAGAAACAGCATATGCATGTATACATAGAGTTTAAAATTTAAAGTGATGACCATTAGGGGCTAACTGTGATAATGAAACTGTGATCTAATAGAAATGTTCTGATACTACTAAAGGTTAAACAGGAACAGGAAAACGCTGAGTACATTGAGAATCCTGCCTTCTGTGTCCTCACTGAAGGCCAAACATACACTGTGCGTTGTTCCGAGGCCCATGAAATACATTATTCGGTGAGTATTTCAGATACAACTTCTAGTAAATATTACATCTCAGTGACATTGTAAATGAAGCAGGCATTCTGTGTTATATCAGTCTCAATGTTTCCTTATGATTAGTCCAGGACTGCACAATGAAAACATTAAATGCATATGTAAAGTCAAAGTTAAAATTTGTGTTTTTAAACTAGCAGAACCTGCAGTCATGTTTCAGTATCTGCACCTGAATTTGTTCAGTTTGTTCACAGTGCTGCTCTGTACTTGAAGTGTTTTGACCAACCTCTTGCATTAATATGCAATAATGCACTTAAAAGTGGACCATTATATATATATATATATA